ACCACCAAGATTTTTCATACAAGGGCACCACCTGCCAGTTATCTTGTATAATAACACTCTTGGCTTGCATGCCAAATATCTCTTTAGAGGAGTCCTGAAAGGCAAATAATATTAACCTCTAGACAAACCACTTCATAGCCATGTCTCTCTAACAAAAATTTTGTTTTTTGTTTAGTCAAATTTTTGGTTTAAATAATCATCAGGAAGAGTTCTTTTTGAATTTTTCTTTTTTTCATAAAGCTTAATAAAGAATAAATATGAAAAGAATTAAAACTAATATTAAAAAGTAATTTAAAAAAGTAGATAAAGCAAAAAAAGAAGATATAATAAAAGTAATATAAAAAAATGAAATAAAAAAAAACAAAAAAAAAAAATATCAAAAAGCCAAATATAATAGTCTAAAAAAATAAACCTAATAGAAAAAAAAATATACTATTATAATCTAAAAAATTATATAATGATTATTTATATTAGTGTTCTGACTTGAGTAGGCCACATCTGAGTAACTTGCTAACCCAGTTTGAAATTATAGCCACCTGGGTAGTCAACTTGTGAGTCATCTATAAGTCAACTTTTAGATTATTTGTTGGTTGATCTACAGGTTATAATAGTGTATTTTGGTTATGTAGAGAGGTGAAATTCCTCTCAAATTGTTATCTTTTTTCTATAAAATATTTTTTTATATTTTCCTGTTTTTTCTTTTTTTGGGGTTTTTTTTTATTTTTATATTTTGTTCATTTTCTCTATTCCTCCTTTCATATTTCCTTTTTAGTTATAGGTCGTTTTCTTTTTTTTTTTATAGATTTTTTGATAAGATAATTCTGGTTTGTCCACAAACTGGTGCAACAGGTTGTATTTAAGACCGTAAGGCAACCAAGTGAAGTTGGGCTTTGATTTCTATAAATTAAATGTATATAGTTCTTATACATATTTTAATAAAAAGCAAGCCACGGCAAAACCCATGAAGAATAAAAAAAAAAAAAAAATTTAAAAAAAAAGAATTCTTAGACTATCTAACACAACCTACTAATTTCTTTTAAAACTGATATAGCAAGTCACACTTGGGTATATTCATTATATCAAAGTAATGTTAATCTGATAAATTAAGTAATTATTTGTAAAACTATAGTTTTCAATTCTTTTAATAAAAGATTTGATAAGACTGCCTAAGTTTTAAAAAAAATAAAAATAAAAAATAAAAATCCAAGAATCTTATACAGTATAACATGCTAACCTTATAAAAGATTTAGTTCAATATTAAATAGCACTATTAAAATCAATCATAAATAAACTTATTAAATATATAGAGCATTACTCTTAATATAAATAAATTCTATAACAAAGCAAGGATATAAGCCTGTAATATAATATTAAAAAATATAAATTTCTCAGATTAACCGAAGTTAACCAGTTATCAGCAGTTTATAGCCAGTTACTAATTGCTTTTAACGGTTTTATTCGCTAGATCATTTAAGTTTAAAGCACTACCTTATATTAAAAGAAACTATTTTGACAATTTTTTATTTAAATAAAAAAAAAGTTTGTCATAAATAGCGGAAGCTAATAATAATAAAAAGATCCATAAAATAAAGCAAAATTATATACAGAGAAACCTCTCTAAATACACCCTCAATAAATGCACGCTCTATGTAAAATCTCTTTAAATGCATAATATAGTCTGGCCCCAGCTTACAACAGCACTATATATTTTACTTTCTATAGATGCACGCCCTCTCTAATTGCACATTTTTACTATGGTCCCGAGGGGTGCATTTAAAGAGGTCTCTGTATATATTTCTATTTGCAGATCATCACTTAAACCCAATTTACTTAATATGTAAAAAATGGACCCTTTTAATAAGAGACACCTCATATGATAAATCTAACGAATATCTGATTAAAATTTCTAGAAGTAATGCCAGAAAACAAAACTTCTTTAAAATTTACAATTTATTACTTGGTGTTTGATATATATATATATAACTTTTTTTTGTAATGGTCAAAAGCCTATGAATTATTATCGTTGTAAGAAATCGATTAATAAAAACCCCCCTAAGTCGAAAATTAGCTTTAGCATATTTTTCATTTGTCCAGATCATTATCTCTAACCACGAAACTCCATAAATGACGATTTATTTGTGCTATTAAATGATAAGGGTAGTAATGTTAGACAAAGAAATAATCAGAAAAATCAAAGTATAAGACTCACTTGGCAGGAGTATTTGTTGCGCCGAAACTGTTGCCGCTCGCACCCAAAATATCATTGCTAAATAACAAATTATTTTTATATGTTAATAATCATAAGATTAAATAGCCTAAAAAGTAAATGACAAGAAAACTAAAGCGAAATTCACCCGTCATTCACATTCCCAAATGCATTATTGCTAAAAAAAAAAAAAAAGATTATACAGTATAGCGATGCGAATTTAAGAACTATATTACAAAATATTCCATTATAAAATGTTACATTATAAAATATTACCTTGCAAATCGAGCAAATCCACTACCACTTGGGGGCCTCACATTTGCGGAAAGAGCTGCAGGAGTTCCAAACATCCGCGCTTGCCCGAAACCAGATTGTCCAAATGCTGGTTGTCCAAATGCTGGTTGCCCAAATGCTTGTGTATTAGATGCGCCAAGTGATGATTGTCCAAAACCAATTTGTCCAAAAGCTGGTTGCCCAAATGCTTGAGAAGGATGTGCAGCTAATGAACTAAAGGTATTTACATTGCTAGGTGGTGTTGCAAAAGCTGGTGGAATACCTGAAGCATTATTACTAACTGGTAATCCTGCTCCAAATACTATAGGAGCAGATGTTGCCGCGCCAAATGACGTCGGCTTACCAAAACCAGCAGTACTAACAGGGGTGTCTGCAAGTGATCTATCTCCGAATAAACCGAAACCGCTTTGCGAACCAGATGCATTGAATGTTTTTGCTGGTTCTCCTAGCCCAAATGAACCAAAATTTTCAGAAACCCCCATTAATTCATTGCCATTTTCTGCGATTATATCTTCTGTAGTTGTATTAGGTACCGTTTGTGGTACACTAGATTTAGATTCCTCTTCAAAGTTGTTAAAGGACTGTTTAAGTTCGGAAGTTTTTAACAATCTGGATACATCAGACTCGATAATTTTTCCAAATTTCGATTCATCGGAATCTTGAGTTTCATCACGATAAGAATCTAAATATTGAGCTTCTTCATCTCTGTCTTGATATGAAGATGTCGCTTCAAATATGGACTGTTCTTGTGTTGTCTCATTATACTGTGATATAAGAGACGCCCGAGTTAGGTTTGACTCGTCAGATTCTAAAGCATATGGCAGTGGCGACTCCACAAGCTTTTCACCAAATGACAGAGGCAATTCTAATCCTGTAGATTGGAACCTGACACTTTGTGCTACTTCAGTAGCTTGCATTGTTTCTTGAATTCCCAGGTTTTCAGGAAGAGTATATATGTCATCATGAATGAACGGTCGACTGTCTTCATAATCTTGGTATTTTTCAGTACCATAATCTATATTTTCTACTTGATATAGTCTTGTACTCCTCTCCTCTAGTACTTGTTTTCCAAGACGAGGTGAAAAAGCTCGAGGAAATGTACGAGGTTTAAGCGAACTTGGACTTTTTTTGGGTGAAATTATGATAGGAGTCATAAACTTTTTTTCGGTAAATTCTGTAAATTATACGAATTATTAAAATCCAAATGGAATTAAAATGGACCAATTAGGATTTTTTTTTTTTTTGAATAAAATAAAAATGTACCATCTTCATTTTCCTCGAAAACACTGGTTTTAACAGGAGACTTTCTATTAAATTTATTTATGGTTTTGAGCCTTTCACAAATACGCTCTTTATTAAGATAGGCAGCAGTTGCTTCTGCTGCATCAATTGAATAGGAAATATTTTTAGTAGGTGCTTTAATTGGTTCAACTTTAATTATTGGAGTAGATACAGATGCTTCACGGTTAGAAGCATGATCTCCCGAAGATATCTGTAATGTGAGCTGGTCTAATTGAGCACTCAATTGTTCAATTTGAGAAGCATTACGGTACAAGCCTTTGCTAATGTTACGAATTGATCTATCAATATACTCCAAAGGGGATTGCCTAATTTAAAGGAAAAATGTATATGCAAATTAGAAAAAATATATGAATATTAAAATATTCATTATTACTTGCCTTAATGATTTGTTCGATTTTTTCTCTTGAATTTGCTCATGTAATGCGTTCAGTTGTGCTTCCAAAGCCTGAGCACTTTCCTTAACAGTCTTTTACAAACATAATTATAGGTTGGTATATACAAATAAACGCTGAAAATTGATATAGCATCCAACCTTAAAAGTTGTCTCTAGTCTCTCTTTGATACGAGATTGTAATATCCCACGACGACCAATTGTAATCATATTGGAAGGTGTGTACATTAGGTGTTCAATATCTTTAGTTGTTTTAACATAGTCTATCCAATTAAAAAATATATAAAGTTAAAAAAAAAATTTTTTTTTATATTCATTTAAAGATACCAAAGATAGAAAAAATAATAACCTATGTGTACATCATGACTAAATTCATTAACTTGACGTCGCAAATCGGCTAAAGCTTGAGACATAGAACTGGCTTCATGTTCCAATCGATTTATTTCTGATGTTATTACCGGCAAATCGCCGATTGACCATGTGTCAGAATTATCAAAACATTGTTCAGTAGTTCGATTATGATATTTTGCTATATAACTATTTCCCACTACTTCTATTAAGTTATTAAGCTAAAAACAAGATAAAATAGTATATAATTTTTTTGATAATACTAAAATTGATAAAGGCAATACATGTCATTTCTTACATACTTGATTTATATCATTGTTCGTGGCATTCATACGAATCATGTGTGGAGTCTTGCTATCAGATTCAGTAGGCTGGTTTGAACCCAAATTTCGGGGCGGTGTAGAATCTGGAGGCGGAGTTGTAATATTTTTTTGCGATGGAATGTATTTATTGGAACTTACAGAGGATGCGAGACTGTTATTGAAACTGTCTGTTTTGGTAGGAACAATAATAGGAGATGATGTTTTGTTGGGGACAACAATAGGCGATGCTGTTTTAATAGGAGCAACAACAGGTGACGCTGTTCTGATGGGAGCAACAATAGGCGACGCCGTTTTGAGGGGAACAACAATAGGTGATGCTGTTTTGATGGGATCAACAACAGACGAACCCGTTTTGCTAGGAGGACTAATAGGTGATTCTGTTTTGTTAGGTGCATCAATAGGTGGAAAAGCCGTAGAATCCTGTGTATTTGTTGTAGGAGGTAATAGATCCCGCTTTGGAGGAATCATTCCTGATGAATGTCCCGTATCAGGAAGCTTTTTGGGATGTGTCATCTCGGATAAACTTTCGTTAGCTAAAAAAGCATCCTTATTAAAGCAACGATACGCGACTATATCACATTCATCATTCAAGATATACAGTATAGGGACCGGTGGAATTTCAGTATTTTCATCAGCGGTTAACCGAGTGATCCAAGATTCTATGCAAGTGAAATCAAGTGCCAGACCAATAGGTAAAGTATCATTTCCATGAATTTCTGATAATGGAAGTGCAGCCCTATTTGTTTCTGTAAGAATTAAGCTAGTCCAATTATTTGACGAATCTCGTACAATCAAGCTTACATCCGCAGAATTGGCGCTTGCACATATTATAAGACATTTCAAATTTGAGCCCCTATTAAATTGGAAAATTTTAACAGATAACTGAGATATAGTAATTACGAAGGTTTAAAACCAAACTTTGATAGCTTATTACCAGTCTTTAATGGTTTCCATGTATAAATAAGGAAGTTTAGGGTGATCAAACAAGGATGGGCAACATATTGTTGGGCACTTTATGTAGAGAATTTTTGACTTTATTTCACGCGAAACAATAAAAACTTCATGTTCAGCTTCTTCTTCTTGAATAACCGGAAAATAAGCCACAACAAACAGAGCATTTTCTAACCAAAGGATATTCTGAACTTTGAAATTGTAAACATAAATGTGAAAAAAAAAGATCGAATATAATGTTATAAAAATAAATTTAAATATACCAGAAGATTGCTGCAACTCCGGAGGTGGTTGAATAATGCCTTTATGTGTTCCTTCTGGAGTAAATTGCAATAGTTGTCCTAAATGATTGCCACAACTTATTTGCTTTCCTTTCGGTGACCAACATACTATAGCGAGATAAAATGAAAAATTGATGAATTAAAAAAGTTCTCAGATTCAAAGTAATCATTTATGAAGAGCTTGGACCTGAATACATTAATAAAATTCATTTCTCTAAGCATTGCTATGTAGCTAATGGCCGGACACAGCTCCTACACTTTTGCATCATGAAACAATACTTACTGGCAGTGAACCGCTCACCAACTTTACTGCCTTCAAGTTTACTTATTTCATTGTTTAATAAATAATCTTTTATGTATATTATGCCAGATGCAAGTAAGATAGCTATCAGATTATGTTTTTCACCAGGATTTGGGCGAAGATCCCTAACATCATCCGGAAACGACATTATTTGAAATGGCTGGCTTCCTGCTTGCTATTTAATTTTTACAATATAATGCATTAAGATAATTAATCGATATACACATCGAACAAGTAAACCATAAGATCAAATGTAACGTGTAATATACCTCAGAAGCAAATTTTGTAACATCATAAAAGAATACAAGGCCACCTTCCACACCGACAACTAATGTAAGCTGATCAGAAGAGAGTCTGAGGCACCGAACATTGCCTTCAGGTATTTCAAAGTGAATTTTTTGAGATAGTAGCTCCTTTGAGCCAGCTTCAGAATTCCCAAATAATTTGTGTAAATCTTGTGTATACGCGTATATGAAGCCTATTCGGTAAAAACACGAAATTTCGAACAATTTTACAAGAAAATAGACAAAATAACACGTTTATTAATAAAACATGCACTAAATGTTAATGAAATTGAATCAAAGTTATTTACCTTTATTCGTTGCCGCTACAAAATAACCATAAATTTTGGAAATTGCAAGTAGAGACGGATAGGGTGGTATTACTTCTGGGTAAGTGGTATCTTGCGAGAGTTGTACGCTTAGCGCATTTTTATTAAATTGTTTGAATTCAAAAAACTATGATTTCAGCAAATTGAAGTGATTAAGGCTCCTTCAAATTAATTATATAAGTATGCATAAGAACATAAAATAAAGTACCTCAGCGTCCTCTTCTTCAAACGAATGAACCTCGATCTCTTCAGTCATAATTTTTTTTTAAAAGAAATGATCCAGATAATTTATTTTAACAACTTATAAAATGTTCACGATCCAATCAGAGTTGAATATTGATTAATTATCAGGATTGGGGTCAAGTACATATAATTATAAAATGACAATTTCCGGAGTTTTTTAAGTTTTTAACGTGAAGATTCAATTTTTAAAATATATATACTATATGATACTGTTAGGTTTAGAATTAACTCGATCAACGTTTGAAAATCTCAAAAAAAAAATTCTATGATCGAATACCAAACTATAAACCTCCCAAATCCCAAACCCAAATATAATAAAATTGGGATTCGGGATTGAGATTTAGGATTTGGAACGAATAGTCTGCCAAGAAGAATATGATGGCACAGTATAAAGAATGTGAAATCTATCACATAAGTAATATCCAATGTAATTTAAGATATACACTTCTTTCTTTTGTTAAATTCTGAGTTCTCTATATGAGACTATCATTATCATACGTATTAGCATGCAATTGCAATTTCTTTTACTGTTAATTTGTACATATATATTACGTATATAGGTTTAATCTATCTACTAAATAAATAATACAGTAGATTCTTAATGATTCAAAATTATATATATCAGATATATTATGTTTTAAAATTCAAGTGGATTCTAACTTTAGTTCTATTAGAGACTTCGTATTGGTATTGTACCGGTACGTACAAACATACTGGTAACTGGTAATTATGGATATATATATCGATATTTGATAACAATTAGCGAAATAATAATAATTGCTAAATTCGAAAAATTCTATCGTTCTGGAAAAGTGATGGACTGATTACGTATAACCGCTTGCGTAATCATAAAATTAAATCAAAAAAAAAAAAAATCAAAAATTTCGAGAATCTATCTTTTACTCAACAATGACTTATCAATCAGATATGAAAATGGATGTGGACCAGAATCCAACAATGGTATTGAATGAACTTCGTAAACAATGTCCTTCAGAATTACAAGAATATTTAAATAATTTTGAGGACTTGTATGATCGCAAGTTATGGCACCAACTTACTTTAAAAATTGAGGAATTCTTTACAGAACCAACCTCTGGTCCCTTCCAGATTCAACTGTTTCAACATTTTATGTCTGACTGGGAAAGCAAGATGAATAAGCTTAAATTAGTGAGATTGGGACTGTGTGTCGCGAAACAATTTAGTGGTAGGATTTATATAATTGATATGCGACATTCAAGAAAGGGGACGGTCCAAAAATTTGCTTTAAAGATCTCATGGTAAACATTATTGTGATATCATATTAGATTACAACGAAGCCTTGGCCTTTCTAACGTCACTTGTTGAAAAAGTTGATACGTCTGAAACGCGTGATGCTTATGTTCTTGCTGTAACTGAAACTGCTTATATAAAGCTTAGATTATTTGATCTTGAGGGTACAAAGACTGCTATGGATGAATGTGAGAAGATTCTTGATACCTTTGATTCTGTAGAAACCGTGATTCACGCGAGTTTTTATCGTGTTTGTGCCGATTTTTACAAGGTAAAGTATCAATTGATGTATCAAGAAAATATATGTCCTAATGTGCTAAGATCGCTAACATTAAGTAATTCAGCAATTACTTTTTGATAAATTAGGCAAAAGCAGAATATGCTCAATATTACAAGAATGCATTGCTTTATCTAGCGTGTATTCAACTTGAAGAATTGACTTTAGAAGAAAAAATTGAAAGAGCCCATGATTTGGCGATTAGTGCATTATTGGGTGATACCATTTATAATTTTGGCGAATTGGTAAATAATTATTCTCTGAATACCGTCTAGCACTGTATGCAGTACCCGGGTATTATTCAAGAATTAAGTCAAATGGGCGATGAATAATGCCCTGGTCTTAATCATAGGGGATACTATTCGTTGGGGATACTTTATACAGTGCTAGACGGTACCTTTCTGGTTAAATAATTCTAAACTACCCTGCTAACAACATATTGGATATAATAGTTAATGCATCCAATTTTGGATACGTTAACAAGCACACATCTTGAATGGCTCAGGAATTTATTATTTGCATTTAACGCAGGAGATATTGGAAAATTTGAAATGTTGGCTGTGAATTTCGTTCAAGAGGTATATAAAAGAGCTAATTTGATGCGTATAATTCATACATATATAATATTTATCAAATCACATGAATTATATAGCCTATATTACAAGAAAATATGTCGTTTTTACGTCAAAAGATCTGTTTAATGTCATTGATTGAAGCTGTATTCAAAAGAAGTTCAGATAATAGGACAATTCCCTTTGCAAATATTTCCGAAGAAACCCAATTGCCTATTGATGAGGTATTGTACATTTATAAATGATTCGTTTTTTCTTTTTCTAAATTTAACGAATATGAATTCCTTTATTCTATTAAAAGGTGGAATATCTAGTAATGAAAGCCCTTTCTCTCAAATTGATTCGTGGGTCAATTGATCAAGTTGGTGAAGTAGTAGTCGTAACGTGGGTTCAACCGCGTGTTTTAGATAAAGACCAAATTGATAATATGAGACAGAGATTGCAAGAATGGGATGAAAACGTAAAAAAGACTGCCATATTTGTAGAGAATGAAACCCCTGAATTATTTATTCAATAAATTTTCATATAGCATAGGAGGACTTTTTGAAAAAAATTCTTGAATTACTTAATATTTCAAAGTAGAGAGATCAAACTCGAATCAAATCTATAAATTATATTATACTCAACACAAGTGATCAAGTTGTTTAACCTTGACTAATTAACACTTATAAAAATCCATGGAAATCTCATCTTTATTTCAAAACCACTGATTAATTAGATTCACAGTTTCTACTTTCAATTTAAGAAAGTTATTTTTTATTTATTTGTTTTTTTTTCTGCGTGCAATGAGTTTCATTTAACTCCAAAAGGCAAAAAAGTCACAATCGTACGTACATTGATTAGCGCGTATATCAATCAAGTACTAAGACGATCGTTATCTTTTTTAAATAAAATTGAATGCCATTGTAAAAAATCGTAACACAAAAAGGTTATTGTACTAGAACATTCGCGAAATCTTTACGTCACTATAAAGGAAGAAAAAAAGATCTGATAAACGGAGTTTATCGATGTCTTTGGCACAATTGATTTCGATATAAATTATTAGAATACTTTCCCGTTTCAATACCGCCACTTTAAATATTGCCAAATAACAAATAATGACGTCTTCAATGTGAGAAAGTTTTTTTTTCACACTTTGGTTTTTAACGTTAAAACACGGGATTTGTTTTGAATTATCTTTCTTATTGAAGTTTTTTTCAATTTTTAATTAAATAGCCGTCACCCAGAAGTACTCTGGGCACAACGCCAAAATGAACTTTATCTTACCATAAATTTAACCGATATTAAAGAACCAAAGATCGATGTTACCAAGGATAAAATTTCTTTCGAAGGTGCCGGAGGCACCGAACAAAAATTGTATCAGTTTGAAATAAACTTACACAAGGAAATTAATCCAGAGGTAACAATCGATTTAAAAAAAAACAATTTAACTAAAAAATATCATGATCGGTGTTGAAAATTTGATCTTAGTGCTCTTTGAAAACGCTAATTTCGAGGGTATGAGTACACCCTTTTAAGATAAAATAGAAAACACGGAGCACGGATGTGCTGCAATTTACTTAAAATAGAGAACAATTAAAAAAAAAAATTGAAATTTGGAGAGGTTAAAAGCATATGTTCATCTTCGAACATAAAGTTAATTTTCAACACTGATTAGGGTGGAAATATATTTAAATTGTAAATAATTTGCTGACCACACTGATCATTAATTTTTATTTTTATTTTTATTTTTTTATACATAGACTTCAAAGCGCTCGCATACTGCACGTAGTATTATTCTTGTTCTCGATAAGGCTGAACATGGTCAAAAATTTTGGCCACGTTTACAAAAGGGTGGTAAACTCAGCTATCTCAAAACCGATTTCGCAAGATGGAAAGATGAGGATGATGATGATGAAGAGGGTGGAAGTGGAAATGGAAATGGAAATGATCCTTTAGGTGGAATGGATTTCTCTAATTTGATGGGTTCTGGTGGTGGAGGTGCCGGATTTGATGTAAGTTGAATAATGTTTTTAAAAAATTTTTTTTAATTATGATTATTGGTATTGGTATTGATATGAAAACATAATGATTTAAGGAGGATGATTCGGACGATGAAGACTATCCTGAACTAGAAAGTACTACGAAGACGAATGAAGTAAATGAAGAATCCAAGGAGTCTGCCCAAGAAGAAGATTCTAGCAAGGAAGCTGCAAAAGACTAAGAACAAATGATAAATAATGCACATATATGTATATTTTTACAACATGATAATATTTTTGAAGATATCATTTTTATTGTAGTTCAAACATTGGGTTGGTTGTTGTATTTCCGTTTTGTTAGAGTTTAAGCGTATGAACCTAATACAGAATGTCTTCTATGGGTGACCATATTCCGCAACATAAAAGTGATTGCATTCCTATGCACGAAAACTTTTCAATTTATACATATTTCTATATCGATATGCATTAATTCAATTAAAATTTGCCTGAACTATTTGGCTAAATTGAAGAATCAATAATTAATGATAGTAAATTTTAAATTCTTATTAATTATGACTTGATTCGAGTCTACTTATCGAAATAATGATATCTACTAGATTTACTAAAATTAATGATATAATCGCTACAATTTTCAAGTTCGTTAGAGCTGTTACCTGAGTAAGGGTTATGTTGGTCATAGGTCAAAATGAGTCTGTCCCGGATCAAATAGGGTAGCACGGTTAACATTAAATTATGGCAGCGAAATAACTTAAGTAGAGATACCAATAAAAAATATTTATTAAATTTAATCTGATAGTTAAATACTGTAAAAGATTTTATATAATACAGTATGATAACAATATTCAAATTTATATACTTTATTAATGTTGCTCTCATCTGTAGATTTTTAATATTTTTAGTCTTCTTCAATACTAAAGATATATGAGAATAAAAAAAAAATAAATCGCACCAAGAATTCTTTATTTGTTATATGTAAACTATCATTATTATTGTCCCACTAACATGCTATAGTGGCAAGCACGTCCGTTATCTGTGACAGGTTATGTCGATCACCGAATCGAAAGAGCATTAAGCGCAGATTTTAATTTACTTTATATTCGATATTTAGGTATACTCATATAACTAAAATTTCGAGCTGAAAACTTTTATTTAGAAGTCAAACTATGAGTGATTTTCAATGAGAAAACGGAAAAATCGTATATTCTTACGAGATATATCGTTCTCATTGTCGAAGTCCAGTTCCTCCAATTCATTCTCATTATCTGAGTCTAGTTCCTCCAATTCGCTCGTTAGAGCTTTCCAATAGGCTTTAATCCTCTTGCCTAATTGTTGTTCTTTTATCTGTTTGAGATTATTAAAAAAATAAAGCGTATCAATTTACTTATTACTAACACAAGAGTACCTGAATTCGAATCTCTGGTGTGATACCAAGCACTATCATTTTATGAAATAAGAGAAAAAAAACTTCTTTCTTTAAATCCTACATTTAGAACATTATTGGCTTCAACAATCTTAATATTTTAATCTTATAATTGGAAACATGTCAGGAAAAAAAGAAGCTACCTGGTTGTTGCTTTTTTAGCAATTCCATTTCTACATTTTTATGTAACTCCCGGTTGATTGTTTCTATAAAATAATAAGTTAATATCACAATCAATATGACAAACCCGTGTTATGCAAAAGCTATAATTCACTTACTCGAGGTTATATTTATAGCGACAATCTCCTTTTTTTATTGTTAAAGGTTTCTTCGAGTTTACAAACTCATTTCAAAAGTATTCTTACTTTTTTTTAATATCATTGAAAAAATCTTGGTATTAAGTATGAAAATAATTCTGTTATCTCATACTCTTAATGTGTAAGAAGTCATACCCATTCTTAAAAATTACTTACCTAGGCAAATTATTACTTCACATATAAGAATAGTGAAGTTTATTAGATAATGGTTTGACCAGGATTTATTGACCTCTTTAGATGTTTGTATCAACGATACACATAATGAATTAAGAATGGTTTTTCAGTGACAAATAAGAAAACCTTCATATGTGGCTTTTTCATTGTTTTTTTTTTGAAGTAATTTGTTAATTCTAGAATCAAATATATTAGAAGCTAATAAGAACTTCGTTTTTAATAATAAAAGTACAAATGAAAATGAAAAAAACTTACTGTTTTTTCTGACGTAGTTCTCAACAATTGGTCGTTATTTACAAGTTATCTATAAAAAATAATTAATATGCAAGATAAACAAAATAACAAAATTTTAAAAAGCATTTTTCTACGTACGGATTTCTTAGAATGAAATGTAAGTTTTGAGCATAAAAAAAACAGCGATTTTTTTGAATAATAACAATCAATCAATAACAATTTGTTTTCTGCACTAAGCCATTTAAAAAAATCGTGTAATTGAGTATTCATCATGGCAGATTCTGTTTACACCCTAAATTAAATATAACCCAAAATTTAAATTATATAAATATTCGACATATAATTAATTATATGCTAATATGTATTATTACAAATACATGCCTAAAATTTTGGGGTGTGAACAAAATCGGCCACGATGCTAGTATTGACAAGACATCGATCATGTGATATAGGACACAATTAGAGCACAATCAAACCAATTTAATTTGTGAGTAAATATGTAAAGTAAATAATTTACAGTATTTCTGCACCTTCGCTTGTTGTTATGCGTTGTTGTAATTTGTATAAACATTAACTTAGTTCATATTTCTGTAATTGGGCATAGATGCATGTTGACATTTGCAACCAAGATGATCGCTTAGTACCAAATACTAATGCTTGCTCTGCTACTTCCTGTCTTACACGAATTGCATAAAATCCATTGCATACTTTACGTAGCATATGCTTCACTTTTTGATATTCTAGTTGATATAAATTAGGGTTGAAATTTTATCATGCTAATTATATAACAAAATTATTCAAGATTATTGCAGAAAAAATAATTAATTACTCAATTAAAAAAGGGAATTGCTATTCGTACTCCTCAAATTTGCCCTATACAAATTAAGTTTTTTCTTGAACTTGAGCAAAGATATTTCGACAACCACCAAGTTAAATTCAATAAACATTTTTTATTTGAATTCTATGCATTCATAGATTCAAATAAAAAAAAAGTTTATTGAATTTTGCCTGGTGGTTGCCGAGATATCTTTGCTCAAAGTCTTAAAACGTCAATCAAACCTCTTTTATTCTTTGAGCGAAGATATCTTGACGTTCACCAAGCCAAATTCAATGAACTTTTTTCATCTAAATTCTAAGAATCTGTAGAATTCAAAATTTATTGAACTTGGCTTGGTAATTGTCAAAATAGCTTTGTTTGAATTTTTAAAAAACTCAACATCTATAAATAGAAGCTACACCAAAATTTTTTATCCTTTAGCGAAGATATCTTAATAACGATCAAGCTGAACTTTTTTTTATTTGAATTCTACAAATTTGTAGGATTTAACTAAAAAAAACTTTATCGAATTTGCCTAGTAGTTGTTAAGATGCTTTCATTCAAACATTGGAAAAATTTTAGCACAGCTTCTACTTTTATAAATGCAAAGTTTTTTTAAAATTTGAACGAAGATATCTTGACAGTCACCAAGCCAAATTCAATTTTGACTGTTAGCATTTCATGAAAATCTCAAACACAACTTAAAACTAGCAAAAGCCAGTTTAGGACAAAAAATTTCATACATAATTGCGTGGTGGATTAACCCACCACAATTACCCATAGTTACCATAATACCTATACCTTATATACCTTGAAAAATATATATAGTAATTAGGCTTACTATTTATTATTTATATAATGATAAATATCAAGGTCTATCACTACTGTACTGCACTACCTTATATGCATATTTTATTCAATTATTTTTATCATTACCTTTGTATATATGTGGAAAAAAAGACCTATTAATATATACTATATTTTATGTATATATGTACATATGTACGTATGTGAAATTTATTTGATTGCTAGTTACAAATAAATGTAATCAGGATAAGATGGTTATCAAAACAGAATTTACAGGCTTTTCTTGGCAACACTCGAGTTTTATACTGCAGACATATATTTAGTTAAGATAGCATACAATCCATTAATTAAATAATGAAATTTTCGAACTTAAATTCTGAAACAAACGTAATCACTTTTTTAATCAGAAACAAGATATTAGAGGTTTCAAAGTTAAAACGCAGAAATCTAATTTTAATTGAAATTGATAATGGATTTATTTTGAAATAAGCAATCCAGCAATCTGACCTTATTTTCAATTTGAACGAATTTTTTTTACAAAGTATTATAAAAATTTTCTGATTTCATGATCTTCAAACACTCCCATTTCATTTTCAGATTTTAAAATCTCGAAAAACAAATAACTCTCATCTAATTTCAAAATGCGCCATACTTATAACTTTGAAACCTCCTATTATGGAAAATTGTTTGGGGACTTTCTCATTTTTTGGGTTTTATAACCATGCGATACATGTTCGTAAAAACAGATATATAAAGATAACCCATGTGTGCAATTCAAATATTACAATTTCTTTTATTAAATTAATAAATTCGCATTGTGAAGAATAAAACAATTCATCGAATTATAATAAAAATTACAAATGCAAGAACTTAATTAAAAAGTTTCTGTTAACAAGTTATGCCCTTTATTAACAAAACTGTATTATTCATATTTAAAATGACTTCTAAAAAACATGTAGCTTTTAAAACCAGTTAGCAAAAATCTATATATAAATAAAATAAACAAGTTGATTACTTAAATGATAAAAAAAAGAAAAAATAACATTAATGAAAGCTCTACAAATTAAGCAGTATATTTATTACTTATTATGCATACGAGTAAATAGTAGTACTTCACGGTAGGCAAGCCTGGTTTGTTGAATATTTACTTAAACATAACCAATCAGATAACGGCTTTATTTGTATCGATCCTTTTAAAATTTGAAAAGTTTTATAATTTCTAGCGATTATTTCTTAATAACTACTTGATCAAATTCAGTAAAATTTTATTTATTTTATTTTAATTTTATATATTTGGAGAATTAAAATAAAAAAGGTTTATTGAATTTGGTTTAATGGTTGTTAAGAAATCTTCAGTAAAAGTTTTAAAAAATTCTCAAGTATCTGGAAAAAAAGCCAAAATCAGGTGTTTTTTAAACTTTGATCGAAGATATCTAGACACCCATCTATCCAAATTCAATAGTTTTTTTATTATTTTATTTATATAAATAAAAAAACTTTGATCGAATTTGATCAGGTAAGCATCAAGTAATTACTGCTTGAAGTTTAAGTATCTATAAAATAAAAACTGCGACAAATTTCTTAACTTAATTGATAATCTATTTGTCATTTGGAGGCAGAGTTGGCATATTTATCCATTGGGCCCAATGGAGAAAACCTCTATTGGCATTGCTTCATTGGGAATAATTTGCCAATGGAGCCAATGGAGCCAATGGAGGCCAACGTAATAACTATAAATTATAATATATATATATTATATATATATATTATATATATTAATTTATAAAATTATTAATAACTTTTGATCCACTGATCTGTTTTGAGTGATTTAACTACCAAAATGT